ACGGGACCCCCTGCCCCCCCCACCCGGGGCCCACGCCCTCCGTCCAGGCCGAGGCGCCACCATCCTTGAGGCCAAAGGCCGAGGGGGCCGGAGCCCCGCGGCCCCGCCGGGAGCCCTGCACGGGTGACAGCTCCCGCCCGGCCCCCGCCGTCCGGGGAGCCCCCGGGGAAAGCCAGCAGGTCTGGGGGTGCTGGGGCCTCGCGGTATAGTTTCCATTGTGTAGATGGGGAAACTGAGGGCTGAGCTGGGGTACATCCGCCAGACCCTGGCAACTTTGCCCCTTCTTTACCGGCGGGGGGGGGGGGGCGGGAAGTCCTTAGACGGCCACCAGCCTGAGTTGTCAGCGGCCCGAGTTCGGGACTCTGGACGACCTGCCCTGACTTGACTTGCAATACTTAAAAGTCTTTTGTTTTAGTGAACATGGCGGAGTGGTGTCAACTCGGGAAATGCTTTTGTCCAGGCAGGTTTCCAGGTTGTGAGGATGGGCAGGAGTGGGCATGGCAGGGGGAGACACTATGCCTGCTCCGTACCAGCTCAGCTGAAGATGGTGTTTGCACAGAGCCCCAGGCCATTTACCTCCCATTCCCATAAACCAAAGAAAGCTGAGAGTCAGACACTTGGCTTTCAGATCCCCCCCCCCACCTCCTCCTCCTCCTCCTCCTGCTGTCCTCCTCTTCCTCCTCCTGCTGTCCTCCTCCTCCTCCTCCTCCTCCTCCTCCTTCATCTGGGTCTTCCTCCCTTTTTCAGGCATGAACTCTATTCTCATGTGCCAGGCACTGTACTGGCTTGACATCAAAGGCATGAGCCAATCTGTTGTAAAGACATTGTCTAGTGGAGAGTAGACAGCGACAACCTTGAACGATATGTGCTAGGAAAGGAGAAAGCTAGATGACAACACCTCTCCTATCCAGTGTGTGTGTGGGGGGGTGGTGGTGGTGGTGGTGGTGGTGGTGGAGGTGGTGGTGGTGGTGGTGGCGGTGGTGGTGGTGTAAGTCCTGGTAGATTCCCAGGAAGAAGTGATGGGAGCTGAGTCTTGAAAGCCAATTGGCAATGGTAGGGGTAAACCCACTTAGGGGCAACAAGCAATACCCTGAAAAGGGTTTGGACAAGGTTCAGTTCAGCTTAGGATTCCCAAACAATTTAGTTTATGAAGAGTAAAACGGGGTGAGCTGGTTGGAGATGAACTGGAGAGGGTCAAAGCCAGATCATACACAGCTTGGGCACCACACCAAGTGCTTTGCCATGCTCTCTTGCAGATGTGGATGAGTGTGCCCAAGGGCTGGATGACTGCCACGCTGACGCTCTGTGTCAGAACACCCCCTCCTCTTACAAGTGCTCCTGCAAGCCCGGCTACCAAGGGGAGGGCAGGCAGTGTGAGGGTAAGTGACCTGGGGGCCAGGAAGCTCCCCAAATCCACTAGCTCTATGGTGATGGCTTAGGCTGGTGAAAGGGTTGCTCTCACTGCCAAATCCTATCACTTGCTCTGCAGTATAGTCCAGATCCTTAAAGGACAAGCAACATAGGTCTTCTCCAGAACTGACCATATAGTTTTATCTGGTTATGTGATGTCCTTTTGTCTAGCTTCTGGAAAGGAAAAAAGATGTTTTTCATATCTTTTTTCTCCATTCAGTTTGGGGGCAGAAATGGCCATCTCATCAGGAGAGCTCTGCCTGAGTCACTGATCCTGGGTTTCTGGCATAGCTTACACACCAACCCTGGAGACTGAGGGCTGCAGTCCTGATTTCCCCTGAAGCTCATGAGGCTCTATCCTTGTCCATAGCTTTGGGATGTTTGACATTTAGAGCTACCTGCCTCATTTGAGCTGCACGTTTCCTCTGGAAAGATACGTATAGAGGGCTACTCTAGTCCTTAGTGCTCCAGATCTGGGAGCCCCAAGTCTGGATACAGTCCACTAAGTATCAACTCAGTGTTTGAATCTGTTCAAAATTGGCTGGAGACTAGGCACTCACAGGAGGAAGTTGATCAAGGAAACCATAGGACATTGAGTCAATTCCATCACTCATTTTACAGATAGTAGACACTATGCCCAAGGAGATTTGTGGCCATGGTCATACATGTAACTTGCAGAAAGTCAGGTGTCTGTCCCCCCTTGACCCCAACTCTCTATCTCCTCTCACATTTGTAGAAGCCAACAGCTGGCCTTCATGTGCCACAAGAAGTTTAAAATGGATGAGGTGCATTAAACTCATCTCTGCAGCTTCCTCTTGCCTCAGACCGGCCCCTGACAAGCATGCTGGTAGTCCCTTTCACTCCAGCAGGTTTTAAGCTCTTTACGACTTGGGCTTACTTCTGGTGAGAATTTCTCTGAATACTTTCAGAACCTAAACATACATAGAGAATAAGAAAGTTCCATCCAAGTACTTTGAAAACCACATTAACTTCTTTAGACAGGAGGGAAACTTAATAGATGCCTATTTTGGGGCTGTTTAATAACCTAGTGTTTATGCCTATCTACTATTTCATCTTGTGGCCTCAGCGTTATGAAGTTCTTGGTATTGGAACAGTGTGTAATGTCTAGTGGTGTCTGCTATGTGGTAGAAACTTCTATTCTTATTTTTCATTATTATTTTTGGTAGTTGTGGGTTGGAACTCAGGGCTTCATGTTTGTTAGGAAAGTGTTCTATCCCTGATTCAGTAGGGCATCTGCTTCACCCCTTACCCCGCACTTTTTAAAATGCTGGTCCTAGGACTTGAATTCAGTGCCTGGGCTCTGGCGCTGTCTCTCAGCTTCTTTTGGTCAAAGTTAGCATTTTGCTTCTTGAGCCACAGCTCCACTTCTGGCTTTTGTTGTTGTTGATGTTAGGTTGGTAGAGATAAGAATCCTTTTCTGCTTGGCTGAGCTGCTACGGTGCGCCTCCCAGTCTTATCCCCCCACGTAGTTTAGGATGGTAAGTACACACTATTATGCCTAATTGTGGATGAAGACAAGGTCTTATAAACTTTTCTGCCCAGGCTGGCCTTGAACCTTGATCCTCCCATTCTCAGCCTTCCAAGTAGCTAGGATTACAGGTGTGAGCCACTGGTGTCTAGTTTTTTGTTTGTTTTTAAATAAATGGCTATGCACTGGGTGCTGGTGGCTCATATTTATAATCCTAACTACTCAGGAGGCTGAGAACTGAGGATCTCAGTTCTGTGGGATTCTTATCTCCAATTAACCACCAAAAAGCCAGAACTGGAGCGACAGCTCAAGTGGTAGAGTATACCCTTGAGCAAAAAAATCTCAGAGCAACCAGGCCCTGAGTTCAATACTTCTCTCTCTCTCTCTCTCACACACACACACACACACACAAAGCACACACACACGCACACACACACAATGACTATGCAAGATGAGCTCAATCACTTGTACTTTGTCTCAATGTCTTTTACAAACAAATACAAAAGTCTACGAGCAAAATACCTAGGTACGTATTGTGTAGTTGACGACATAGGTGGTACCTGTCAGGTTTTTGTTCTTTGGCTCACTCTCCTCAGTCCCAGCTCCTTGTCTTCCTAGCACAGCTGAGACAGTTGGGATTTTTGTTTGTTTTTGAAATGGGGCTCTCACTAGGTTGCACAGGCTGATTTTAAGCTTCTGAATTCAAGGGATCTTCCAACCTCACCCTTCCAAGTGTTGGGGACTACAGGAGTGTGCCACTGTACCTGGCTTAGAAAGGCCAATCTCTCCTGTATTCCCTCAGTGCCCACAGCCTTTGTACATGCTAGGCAGGTGATTTGCCACTGAATGACACTTCTTAGGAGTAAAAAATAAACTTCATTAGAAAAATAATTGAGGACTAAAGGAAAATATAAGCAGCAAATACGAAGAGACTATGGGAGGATACCATGTGAGTTTGCATCTTGGGGTAGGTAAAAGACACTCCTTGGGAAATCATTCAGGAAGCTCTGCTTTCTGCCAGAGGAGCCCAGCTCCTGCCTGTCCATCAGGAGAGCCGTGCTCCTGGTCAGGTTCGCAGCCAGTGGAGTTGGGAGTTCTTCTAGAAACCCTTTTGTTTTGAAAGCCAAGTTCATATTTCTCTAGAGATGGATAGGCAGTCATATTTCCACACACCCTTGCTTTGTCTTGTTGGTCTCTCTCTCTCTCCCTCCCCTTCTCTTTCCCTCCCTTCCCCCTCCTCTCTCTCTACTAGAACTCATATTTACTGGTACTCAGATTGAAGACAAAAGAGTTTAATCTCTTTTGTTTTTTTGGACACAGGTTCTGCCTATATAGCTCAGGTTGGTCTCCAACACACAATCTTCCCATCTCAGCCTCCTAATTGCTGAGATTACATGCCTATACCACCTGGCAAAAATTCACTTAAACAAATTGGAGGGCTGGGAAGGTGGCTCAGTGGTAGAGCGCTTGCCTTGCATGCATGAGGCCCTGGGTTTGATTCCTCAGCACCACATAAGCAAAAAGAAAAAAGCTGGAAATGGCGCTGTGGCTCAAGTGGTAGAGCGCTAGCCTTGAGCTGAATAGCTGAGGGACAGTGCCCAGGCCCAGAGTTCAGGCCCCACGACTGGACTCAAAATAAATAAATAAATAAAATAATAAAAAATAAATAAAAAAATTGGATATTTCATGTCTCCAGTTGCTGAAGTCAACTTTGGGGATATAAAGCTATGTCGCTGATTTCTTTTAGATAAAATTTGTAAACAATGTTGACTGACAACTGTCAAGAGTTTCCTCAGTCTGAGTCCTTGAATTTGGTATAGTACAAATAAAATGGAATTGTTACAGTCAAAAAGTCTATTATTTAAAATAACAATTGATAAAAAATAAAAACAAAACAAAAATGAGTGGCATTATTGCTCTTATTTATTTAAATTTGTTTAAAAAGAATGCATGAAGGCTGGGCGCTGGTGGCTCATGCCTGTAATCCTAGCTACTCAAGAGGCTGAGATCTGAGGGTCGAGGTTCAAAGCCAGCCCGGGCAGGAGAGACCGTGAGACTCCTATCTCCAATAAACCACCAGAAAACTGGAAGTGGCGCTGTAGCTCAAGTGATAGAGCACTCTCCTTGAGCTGAAGAGCTGAGGGACAGCGCCCAAGCCCAGAGTTCAAGCCCCACAACCGACAAAAAAAAAAAAAAGAATGCATGATGGTTGTCATAAAAGTCAAAATGCAAAAATGTGTAAGAGAAAAAAACTAAAGAGCCTCTTATCCCTTTATCCACAGTTATTCACTGTTAGCAACAAATGTACATGCTTTGTACAGTCATTTTCAGCTGAACTCTAGAAGAATTTGCCTTCTGAATACTCATATTAACCTAGTGAGGAAGGATCTGCGTTTGGATTTCTTGCTATAGGAATTTAGTGAAAGAAGTTTAATTCCAAGCAGGAGGAAATGAAAATTGTGAAGATTCAAACACATAACTCCTTTTTCTGTGTTTCTTAGCTTAGTCATTTTTTAAATTTTTATCTTTTTTTTTTGTGTACGTGCTGGGGCTTGAACTCAAGGTCTGGGTGCTGTCCCTGAGCTTTTTTGCTCAAGGCTAGCACTTCACCATTTGAGCCACAGTTCCATTTCTGGTTTTTTGGTGATTAATTGGAGATAGGAGTCTCACAGATTTTCTTGACCAACCTGGCTCTGAACCACAATCCTCAGAACCTCCTGAATAGCTAGGATTACAGGCGCAAGCCACCAGCACCTAGCAGTTTATTAATTTTTGAGCCTCTGAGACCCAACCTGTGGTATTCCTTGTCGTGATTATTATTGTCAATGTCACCGAACACTTAAGTTCAAGGATGGGAACTGGGTTTGCCCAGAGTCACCAAGAGTTTTTTTGTATGTGTGTGTTGGTTGTGGGACTTGAACTCTGGGACTGGGTGCTGTCCCTGAGCTCTTCAGCTTAAGGCATGTTCTCTACCACTTGAGCCACAGTGCCACTTCCAGTTTTCTGGTGGTTAACTGGAGATAAGAGTCTCATGGACTTTCCTGCTCAGGTTGGCTTTGAACCATGATCTTCAGAACTCAGCCTCCTCAGTAGCGAGGATTACAGGCATGAGCCACTGGCTCCTGGCCTAAGTATAGTTGTTTTTTTTGTTGTTGTTGTTTGTTTTTTTGGTCAGTTGTGGGGCTTGAACTCTGGGCCTGGATGCTGTCCCTGAGTTCTTCAGCTCAAGGTAAGTGCCCTACCATTTGAGCCACAGTGTCACTTCCATGACCAAGAATTTTATCCTCCAAAAATCTTCTACCACAATTTAGTATGGGCTCTGAAATGGTTGTTTTAAAAATAATGTGATTTAGAAGTGGTATTAAGTAAAATATTTTTTTTTTAAGTGAGCATTGCTTGTATCCTAGATTTTGAGAGGAACTCAGTGGTCAACATTCATGTATGTCTTTATTTGTTTTTTGGGTTTTTTTTGGGGGGTCC